TCAGATCTTTAAATGCCCTTTCCCTGCCAGTATAATCACCTGCTAGCCTCCCCCGAACTTCTTAGTTTTCAGAAAACTCAGAGGGGATACCATTAATTTTAATGATCTGTATTTATTCAAATGTTGTTCTCCTGTTTGGGGGCTTTCTATATCTGTTGTTGCTGCTCTTCCTTCTAGGACTGTATATTTAAGCCTTTCACTGCTGATTTGCATTTCTGCCTGAGGAAAAGGAACTCTTATTAGAGCATTTCATCTGGTGAGGTTAGAAATCAGTAGCTGAGATTTGCTCTGCTCCTAGATTATGCTATACTCCTATAGCCACAGGGCCTTTGCATGTGCTTTTGCTCCCCTGGAATGCTACCATCCACCCACAGTGGGCATAAATAAGCGCTGTGAGCACAAGTAATACTAAAATTACCTTTCCACTTTCCAGAGTCCAGGAATCTCAGGGACTCCAAGCCAGTACAAAGAAAAGATCCTGTACAGTTTTGAATATATCTCTTTAGTTTAAGGGTACCCTGCAGTAATAAGACTGTTATTAATGAGAGGGTTTAAATTTCCTTTTAAATTGTGCTGATTGCCTCCTGGAAAAGAAAAACAACCTGAGGTGTATTGGTGGCCACTATATTTTTAACCTGCCTGTTGACTTTCAGTCTCTAGACTGGAGCTGGTTACAGACGGAGGAAGAAGAGCAGAATAACTTGGAGCAGGCCTCGTGACTGTGTGGGTGGCCTTGACCACCTGATGGGGCTTCCTGGCCTGAGACTCTCCCACTGTGGCTCCTGCTATATAGATGTCCCAACCGTCTTCAACACCCAGATGGAGATCGTCTCACTTTCCCACAGTTGTGGCTTTGACCGTGGACCAAGGGTGTGGCCCTCCATGGGCACTGCCAGCAACTTGTCTGTACACTGGAAGCCCTCTATTACAGAGTCCCAGCAAACACAGATGCCAGGCAGGAGCATTAGGGAGACTAAACCACAGTGGCTCCTTCCTCTGGCCTAAAAAAAAATTGCTCAAGTACAATTGCCCCCCAGACCACTGGGCAAATGTCTAACATGAATTATTCAGGACAAAGTATGAACAGCCAGCCTGTCCTCTCCTGACCCTTCCTGATCTTCAGAGGCTCTGACCCACATGTCCTCACAGTTAGTGTTTCATTGGATTTGGCTTCTCTTGAACAGACTTTTAAATCATGGATTTAGCCTGGCCCCATTCTCTTGTTTTCATTTTACTGCTGCTAAAATTTTCTTTTTACCTACACTTTGATGGTTATCCTCCCTTGGGCAAGGTTGTAGGTGAATGCTAAGCTCCTCCTATCTGTAGTCCTTTCAGCCACAGTATGACTCACTAGAGCCAGGATGGAAGAGCAACTCCCTTCCTTTGGGTCCCAAAGATTACTTGGGAATGAGTTGTCATGAAGAAGAAGAAAAGAAGAAAATTTTATCTGTCAACCACTGGCCTGCTGACCACAATGCTCACACCACCTGTCCTTGCTCAGATACCTCTGTGTGTGGTGGTGGTGGGATGGGGAATCCCTGCCTCTCATATCATTGAGCAGTATTATTAAATTGGTTTATTTAAAAAAATAGTTCCTGTATCTTGTAATATGACTCAAACACTTAAACTGGGTTCCACAATCCATTTTCACAGTACCTCTGGTTAGAACTTATGAACTCATAATCCAACTTAATGGATGGAATAGTGCCTGGATCAAACAGTGCCATAGCACTATCACTGCCTCTTTGACACTTCATAAAACTTCACCTTTATATAAAAGCACGAAAGCAAAACGAGTTCAGATTATCACAAAAATTAGTTTGGTTGGAGAAGGAAATTGGAATAAAAGAGTTTCACTAAGTGGCTTTCATGGAAACAGTACAGAAGGGTTTCATGGTCAAGCAAGTTTTGGAAATGCTTCATGCTTTAATTGCCTCTGGGATCCACATTGTACACTGGTATATTAAGGTAAGCAGGTCTTTGAATAATGTTTTGTTCAATGTCATTTCACTGTAATGTTGATGAGAAACTATAGGAACGTAACTCGTTTATATCAATTAGCCTATGGTAAAATTGGTTTCTTTATGTTGTTTTGCTTGAAGTTGCAGAACCTATTGACGATATTTTGTTAATATCATGGTTTGTTGAAACGGTGACATATTTTAGGGTGACCAACTTATTTTGGTTTGCCCAGAACTTTCCTGGTTTGAACCCAGAAAGTTCTGTATCCTAGTAAACTTCTCATTTCCTGCCAACAGGGGGTGATTAGCCATCCTACATCATGATATGTCTATATCCTGTGTAATTCAAAGTATTTGACACTTCAGCAAAATTGCAATTTAGAATATTCATTGAGTACCTCTTGAGCAGCTGTATATGGCAAACTAAAATTAACTCCTTACTTGCATGGAGCTTACGTTGGTAGGAAAAGGGGTAGAACAAGGAGTAGATAATAGGCAAGTAACACATGTTAAGTTTCAAATAGTTTCAATGCTATGAAGAAAATAAAACATAGTAATGGATAGAGTGCCTAAGTGTTATTCAGGAATGTTGACAAGAATGTGACTACTGGGCTGAGATCTGAATGATGAGAAGAAGGCAGCCAAGTAAAGGCCTGACCAATGAGAAGAGCCCTGAAGTAGGTACATCTAGGTACCAAATCATGTGTGTACTAAACAAAAGGAAAAGTGGGAAGTAGGAGAGATGGTAGAAGATAGATCACATTAGGCCTTGTAGGCCATGGAAAGGAGCATGGATTTTTAAAAATTGATTTTAGAGACAGGAAGGGAGAGAGATTGAGAAACAATGGTGTAAGAAAAACATCAATCCATTGTTTCCCAAACGTGCCCAGACTGGGGATTGAACCCGAAACCTGGGTATGTACCTTGACCAGGAATCAAACCTGCCACCTTTTAGTGTACGGGACAACACTCCAACCAACCGAGCCACACTGGCCAGGGCAGGAGGGTGGATTTTATTCTGAGTGCAATGAGAGGGTATTTAAGCAAATGAATGACATATTTTGATATACTTTTTTTCTTTTTAAATCATTCATGTCCTATCTGGAGGGAACAATAGCAGAAACAGGAAGCCCACTGGGTGGCTGTGGCAGTAATCAGGGAGTGAGATCATGGTAGAGTGCACTAGGGTGGTGAGAGGTAATCTAGTAAAGAATATTATGTTCTGGAGACAGATCAGACAAGACTTGCTGACACATTGGATGTGCGGTGTGAAAAGAGCAATTAAGAATGACTCCTAAGGTTTTGCCTGATGGCTGGGTAGGTTAAAGTTTCATTAACTAAAAAGACATCCAACTGAATGGGAGATATTTGTAAACCACAGCTCTATCAGGTGTTAATATCCAAAATATATAAAGAACTCATACAACTCAACACCAAACAATCCAATTAAAAAATGGGCAGAGGACCAGAATAGACACTTCTTCTAAGACATACAAATGGCCAAATATATGAAATAATGTTCAACTTCACTAGCTATTAGGGAAATGCAAATCAAAACTACAATGTGATATTACCTCACACCTGTTAGAGTGGCTGTTATCAACAAGACAAGTAGTAATAACGTGTTGGAGAGGTGGAGAAAAGGGAACCCTCATTCACTGCTGGTGGGAATGTAAACTGGTACAGCCACTATGGAAAACAGTATGGAGGGTCTTCAAAAAATTAAAACTAGAGCTACCGCCCTGGCCAGTGTTTCAGTAGTTAGAGTGTGAGTCCACGCACCAAATTGTCACAGGTTCGATTCCTGGTCAAGGGCATGCGCCTGGGTTGCAGGTTTGATCTCCAGCCTGTCAGGGTGCGTGTGGGAGGCAGCCAATCAATGTGTCTCTTTCACATTGATGTTTGTCTCCCCCTCCCTCCCATTCTCTCTAAAAATCAATAAATGTCCATGGGTGAGGATTAATGAAAAAATAAAATAAATAAGAGCTACCATATGATCCAGCAATACCTCTTCTGGATATTTACCCAAAAAACTTGAAAACATTTATTTGCAAAGATATACATGCCTCTGTGTTCACTGCAGCACTATTCACAGTGGCCAAGACATGGAAACAACCAAAGTGTCCTTCAATAGGTGACTGGATAAAGAAAATGTACATATATACTATGGAATACTATTCAACCATAAGAAAGATGAAATACTGCCACTTGTGACAACATGGATGGGCCTTGAGAATATTATGCTAAGCGAAATAAGTCAGAGCTAAGAACCACATAATTTCACATATATGGAATATAAAACTGAAACTCATAGATGCAAACAACAGTATGGTGGTTACCAGAGGGAAGGGCATCGGGGGATTACTATAGGGTAAAGGGGGCTAGATATCTGGTGATGGAATATGATTTGACTTTGGGGGGTGGGCACACAATGCAACATACAGATCATGTAGCATAGAAGTGTACACTTGAAATGTCACCCCAATAAATTTTTAAAGTGTCATTAACTGAGATGGGGGAAAGTTAAGGAGAAGCTAGTAGGGTAAGAATTGAGTTCTATCGTACATTTTATCTTTGAGATGCGTATTATAGACAACTAGAGATAACCAGTAGGCAGTTTGATATATGGAACTAGAGCTTGAGAGATCAGGGCTACAAATAACAAATTTAGGAATCTTCAAGCTAGGCATGGTATTTTAAAAGGTGAAACTGGACAAGGTGGAAAAGCTGGTTAGAAGATCCAAGGCCTGAGGCACTTTCCCACAGAGGTTGGAGAATGGAGGAGAAGCTGGGAACCAATACACAAAAACTAACAAACCTGAGTGGCTACTACATAAGAGTAAGGAAGGAGGAAAATGCAGTGTGTACCATTTTAGAAGCCAATTGAAAACTATTTCAAGAGAGTAAGTGGATCAGATGTCAATGGTTGGTCCAAGAAGATGAGGACAGAGAATTGATCATTCCCCATGGATTTTCCACTGATTTCTTAAAAAGTTGGCATAATACTCATATAAAAAATGATACCACAATTCCCTAAAGTTGTAACATTCGTTATTCAAAGGTGAATAAAAACTTTATTTAAAAAAGAATGATCATTCTTCAGAACATACTATGAATATAGCCTGGAATAGAGATGGATAGGAAAAATGAACAGAAAAAAACTGATGACTCACTTTAAAAAAAAAATAAATCTTTAAACATTTTGTTAAAGAACAGCTAGCTACTTTAGAAACTAGACACTCAAGCACTGATCTATTCATAGTGTTTTTACACAACTAAAGAAGTTGACATCAAATGGACAAAAAATAATACATTAGTCCCATATATTTTAAAAATCCATCTTTAGAAAGCAGGTCAGATGGACTCAAAGACCTCACTGAATGTAGGAAGCAACATAAAGCAGCCTGCTGGGGCATAAAGATAGGAACCAGTCCATACAGTCCAGAAAAAGTTCTTTTGTCTCCTGGTCTAAATGCTTGCCTTTAGTCTGGGTTCAGAGAAAGGTCCTGATCATTTGAACTGGTTGTCAATCAAAGTCCCCTTCATTTTTGCTTTGTTGGCTTCCAGTTCAGCCAGCTCTTGCAGCCACCTTTTGCTCATGCCTTTGCGCTCCAGCTGTTTTTCAATCACTTTGGCATTCTGTGCATACGAGTCGGCAACTTCCCTAGCCTCAATCTCCTCTTCCTCTTCATCAATGGTAGACACAGTGACAGAGCTGAACTTGCCCATGTCTTTAGTCCGTTTGGTCATCATCACCTTCTTAGGAGGCTCTCGCTTCTGAGTATATATATTCATTTTCCCAAAACCCTGGCCAAATTTGACTACTGCCCCATCTACTATGAAGGTCACAGGAGCATTCTTTGGCTGGGTCTGGTAGAAGAGTGGTAGTCCACACTTTGCACACTTCTTCCTGTACTGTCGTTCAATGCCTTCAGGCCTGCGAAGATACATCGTCTCCTGGTCTTCTGTGTTACAAAACTTGTGGGCGTGTTTGGCAGCATCAATCACCCGGGACTGATCCCGGGGCCTCATGGGCAATTTCTCCAACTGACAGTCCAGCACCAGAACCATCTGGCCACACAAACGGTAGTAGACATGGAGTGGCTTCTCACCATCGTCATATTCCTCCCTGTCCCGTGTGTAGGAGCAGACAACTGACCTGGACACAACTTTAGGCATAGTTCACAGGAGATATCCACAAACTCAGCGCCAAAAATAAGAGTTGCACAGAAATCAAGATGACTCACTTCTAATTGAAGGTGGGAATCAAAGTGGTAAGAAGCTTCAGAATAAAGTTAAAATGCAAGGGATTAAGGGCAAATACAAATATTTACAAAAACCATACAAATACACTGAGCAAAAAGGGTTAATAGTAACATTAAAAATCTAGCAAACCACTTGCTGATCGGCTGTTTCAAGCCAGAACTCGCCCGTGCAGCCAGCTACTTTGGTCAGCAAGGTGTTTAAAATTACTTAAACTAATATAAGTGCAGACACGCGTTACCTCATGACCAGTAAGCAACGTTCAGACATGGAAATATGTATACTCGTGACCGGTCAGCAAAGTGTTTAATAATAGACAACTACCCCATTAGAAAAATGAACAAAAGATATATATAAATAGGAAATTCACAAAAGAAATACAAATGTCCAATAAATATAACTTAAGATGTACACTGATATTGTAAACAAAAACCCAGCACAACCAAGTACAACCTAATCAAGGAAACTATATCTAAAGCATTATTCTATTATTAAATATAATGGGCATTTTAAAAGGACTGGATTAGAAAATTTGGAAATATATGTTGTAAAATATTAACAGCAGTTAAGATAATGAGATGTTCATTGATTTTTAATTTTCTCCTTTTATACTTTTTCCCTGATTTTTCTATAGCAACCATATATCATTTTGTAATAAGCTTTTATTTTATTTACAAAGCAACTGCCTGGAATTTGGAAGTTTAGTATGAACCTCGGGAGTTAACCCTTGTAAAATATTGCTGATGTCACATTTTCATTTCTCAAGCGGAACTGTAAATTTCTCAGATATAGGTCATCATGCTGTAACGAGTTTCATTTCTCATTAGGTTAAGCACTTCTCCCTTTCTAGTGGTTTCTTCACTTTAACCCCTACTGCAAAAGGCTGGGGAAAATACCTTTTGACACTGGTTGGCATATCTGCTAAAGTTTCCTATTATCGGCCTATTTCATTCCGGGCTCCTGCTGCATCTGGTCCAGGAGGCAGCCATTGCAGTGTGGACCGCACCATATTCTTAGTTTTAACAGTAAGTCTGACCCTGGTGTTGCCTCATCTCCCATATAAAATGTGAAGAATTCAATAACTTTAATTCAATAACTATTATTGTGCTCACAAAAAGCGTGCACAGGGCAGTCTTGAGTATCCTACGTCCCATCCCACCACCTTACACACCCCACCATCTTCAGTTCTGACTGCAGAGCCAGACTCGGACTCCCATTTTTCCCCTTCTAGGGAGGGAATTTCAGAGAAACGTACTGAGAAACCAGATACGAGTCAGGTCAGGAACCCAGGTCTTCCTGCAGGAACCCCTGCATTGGGATGCAGTTCTCAGGCGTCCGCTCTCCTCCAGCCAAAGCCAAGTTTGAGGTCCCCTCCACCCTACCGGCTCCCGAGTCTCACAGGCGAGGCAGCGTCGCCCGCGTCCCGCCCCGGCAACGCACCCGCGTGACGTCACCACGCGCGCCCTCCGCCGAGCGGCGTTCGCCGTGCGCCGCGCCTCCTGTCAGAGGCAGCCATTGTTCAGCCGGCTCCGGGCTGGGCTGGTCCTACCCGCCTCTCCAAGTCCCTGCCCCTCCTAAAAGCTGGGAGAGGGGGCCAGTCCCTGGCGCTGCGCACTCGGGCTCTCGGGTGCAGGCCACCATGAGCAAACGGAAGGCGCCACAGGAGACTCTCAACGGGGGAATCACCGACATGCTCACAGGTTAGCCCCGCGCCGGGAGCCGCCGGCTTCCTCCTTTCCTCCCACCCCATTGCCTTCCCTACCTTTTCTCCTGTCCCGACAGCCCAGTGGATGGGATCCGCCCCTCGCCGCAGGTAGTCTTCCGTGTAGATCTTTCCGCGCAGGTGGCGGGTGGCGGGTGGCTGATTGTCAGCGCTGCTGGGGCACTGTCACCGCTTGGGCTGCCTTTGGCCTGGCCCGTGTAGAAGTGGGGGGGTCACCGCCCTTTAAGATTAAAGGCTGTTACTTCCCCTTATGGGAAACGCAGTTCTTCTTTGTTTACTCGTGGTTCTTGTTCACCCGAGCCTCTTGTTGCCTTTTCAGAACTCGCAAACTTTGAGAAGAACGTGAACCAGGCGATCCACAAATACAATGCTTACAGGTGCGACGGGCCATTATTCGCTGGGAACATGCGTTCTGGGCTGTGTGGCAATTAAAAGGGCCGAGGCGCCGGTGTACATTTGGGCCATCTGCAGGAGGCGAAAAAACACAAAAACTGAGGGCATTGACTTTGTGGTGGTACCTTACTGCAGTATTTTGGGAGAACTTGGGCAGAGCCCTGTAGGATCAATTCCCAGTTCTGACTGGAAACAGGCAGATTTCCTGTCATTAAACATGAATTACTGAAAAGACAGTTTGACTGTAACATAATGAAAGACAGGGGTTGAGGTCTGTGCAGCGAAGTAGATGTGGTTCAAGGAATCACACTTTTCCATCTGGTTGGTCTGTGTCTTATCCTGTCACCTTTTTGGATCCCAGCCTTGTTCATCTCACCAGGGGCCTTATCCTAGGCATTATTCCCGCACCCACCTGCTTCTGATCCTTGGCCTATAAACATGTCCAAATACCTCAGCTTTAAAAGCAAAAACAAAGCAATCTTCTTAACTTCCCTCTAGCTAGTACTTTATCTCTTTCCTCCGCTTTACAGTTAACCTTCTTGAATAATCTGTGTTCCTTGCCTGGACTTCTTAATTGCTAGTCATTTCTTATCTCATTAGTATAATTTCCATTCTACCCACCCTCTGAAAATGCTCTCACCTACATCTCATCTTACTGGACTCTCAGTGACATTCACTACTAGCTCATTCTATTCATACCTTACCCTTGACTTCCGTGATGGCACAGCCTTCTGTTTTCACATCTTCTATTTTACCTTTTAATGTTGGTAATTCCCAGAAGTCTGCCCTTTACTCTCTTCTATCACTTTCTTGGCAATCTTACCATTCCTAGTGGCTTTGGATACTGATTATGTAAATGACTCCAAATATGTATCTTACTGGGCTTTTCTCCAGATTTTTAGGTCTGTATCACCTTTATCTTTACTTTTTCAAAGCTAAATTCAACTCCCTCCTTCTCCTTCCAACCAGCATAATTAAAAAAGGATTACACTCTCTCCTTTACCTCCTAAGACTGTCTCTGTAAAATAATTGTACTATCATCCACACATTTGATGATCTAGAAATCAGAGATACATTCAACCCTATTATTTGAGTCACAGCAGGCTTCAGAGAGGAAGTGTTTAGTTTTGAATGAGCCCATCAAGGGATAAGTGAGGGGAAGAACAATTTAAAGACAGGACACAAAATGTGCCAAGGCATTGAAACATGAAGGAGTATAGCATTTTCTAGGAAGTCAGTAATTCAGTTTGCTTAAGAGATATGGTCTGAGTGGGAAATAAGCCTTGAAAAGCAGGTAACACCCCTGCATGCTCCCCCCTTTCCTGATACACATTTCTCTTGATTGTGGCCAAAATATCCTTTTGAAAATAGTTAGGTGATCTTGTCATTCTTTCATATAAAATAATTAAATATTTCTTCTTTACCTTGATAAAGCCCAAATGCATTGTGGCATACAAAAGACCTCTCATGATCTAATTCTTCCCTTTGAGGCCTTGCCGCCTAGTGCCAATTATCTGGAACTACTTACCTTTACTGAAACAATTCCCTCCACAAATTGCCCTTAACTTACCTTTCTAGACTCATCATTAGTATAATTCTAATAGATAAGTTGAATCCTAGTCTAATGGTTTATAATAGAATGAAAAACCAAGACTTCAAAGATTATACAATATTTATGCTTTAGACTTAGATATATTATGGCTTTTTATCAGCATCAATACTAAACCACACTTAGCATTGAGATTATAGACAGGATACCATCAGGATGCTCCCAGGGTGTACCCAGTCTGTCACCAGATTACTGAGCTGGATATGTGTGGAGATGGGCAAGAATAACAGGTCACATCAGCCTTATGTGGAACTGAAATGGGAGCAATGAAAAAAAATAACTGGTATTAAGGACATAGGGGAATGCCGGTTTAAGCCATGAATTTAAAAATTGTCATTCTTTAGCCAATTGGGAACCTATAGTCTGAATACTACCAAGTGGCACATTTTTATAAAAGAGAGTTGTGAATAATTTCTAAAAACTAGCTATTAAAAAAAGGTCCAATGATAGTTTCAGTTTAATCCCAAAAAGGAAACGCTACTGGGTTCCTGAATCTTCCTAGTTTTACATATACAGTTAAAATCATATTATCCTCAAATGTGAGAATTTTCTTTCCTTTTATTTATTTATATAAAATCATTTTTGATTTTTAATTATAGCAGATATGCAATATTATATGAATTTCAGGTGTACCTCAGACATACAACTTACTAAGTGATCATCCTGATATATCCTAACCATCTGACACCATACATAGTTATTAGAATATTATTGACTTTATCCCTATGCTGTACTTTACATCCCTATGACTATTCTGTAACTATCAATTTGTATTTCTTAATTCCTTCACCTTTTTCATCCATTCTTTCAAACCCCCTCCCATCTGGCAACTGTCAAAATGTTCTCTGTATCTATAAGCCTGTTTCTGTTCTGCATGTTCATTTTGATTTTTAGATTCAATTGTATTTATTGCCATTTTATTGTTCATATTTTTGGTCTTTTTTTCCTTCTTAAAGAAAACTCTTAGTATTTCATATAATACTAGTTTGGTGGTGATGAACTCTCTTAGCTTTTTCCTGTCTAGGAAGCTTTTTGTCTGTCCTTCAATTCTAATTGATAGCATTGATGGGTAGAGTCATAATCTTGGTTGTAGATCCTTGCTTTTCATCACATCTAAGTATTTCTTGTCAGGCCCTTCTGGCCTTCAAAGTTTCTGTTGAGAAATCAGCTGATAGTCTTATGAGAGCTCCCTTAACCAGTTGCTTTTCTCTTGCTGCCTTAAAGATTCTTTTGTTTTTAACCTTTGGATTTTAATTATGATGTGTCTTGGTGTGGGCCACTTTGGGTTTATTTTGTTTGGAACTCTGTGCTTACAGGACTTACATGTCTCTTTCCTTCACTAGGTTAGGGAAGTTTTCTGTCATTTTTTCAAATAGGTTTTCAATTTCTTGCTCGCTCTCTTCTTCTGGCACCCCCCATTAGGCAAATGTTGGTATGCTTGAAGTTACCCCAGAGGCTCCATACACTGTTCTTATATTTTTGGATTCTTTTTTCCTTTTTGCTGTTTTGATTGGGTGTTTTTTGCTTCCTTGTATTCCAAATTGCTGATTTGATTCTTGTCTTCATCTACTGTACTGTTGAGTCCCTGTAAATTATTCTTCATTTCGGTTAGTGTATCCTTCATTTCTGACTGGTTATTTTTTTATTGTTTCCATATCCTTTTTTATGGCGTTGAAGTTTTCACTAAGTTCATTGAGCATCCTTATAACCAGTGTTTTGAAATTTGCATCTAACAAATTGCTTGTCTCCATTTTGTTTAGTTCTTTTTCTGGAGTTTTGTTCTGTTGTTTCATTTGGAACATGTTCCTTTGTCTCCTCATTTTCGCAGCCTTCCTGTGTTTTTTCTATGTATTAGGTGAAGCTTCTACATCTTCCAGGCTTAGTAGAATGGCCTAAGGTAGTGTAGGGTCCAGTGGCACAGCCTACCTGTTCACTCAAGCTAGGCACTTCAGGTGCCCCCCCCTTTCCCCGTCTGGGTTGTGTACACCCCCCTTGATTGTACATATAGTTGAGTCTAGATTGCTATTGGCATGTCAGTGGGAGGGATTTACCCCCAGGCCAATCAGCTGCAAGGACTGCCTTCAAGCATCTTGGAGGATTAGCTGTACAGGGGCCTACCCCATGGAGCAGGCCTTACTTCAATGGGGTTCTGGTGCCTTCTGAGTCCACCCCTTGAGGGTGTTGCTTGTGGAGGTGGTTGGGTGGTGCTTTGATGTGATCTGAAGCTGTCTGTCCAGTTCAGTAGCTCTGGGACCTCCCAGGAGGTGTAGGCCACGGTCAGCTACTGCTTGTGTTCTGCCTGGGGCCTCCTGACATGAGCTACAAAGCAATCTGCAGATGGCTGCTACTTGTGCTGGGCTTGGAGATGCACAGGAGAGGCCATGCTGTGAACCAAGGCTGGCTGCTGCTAGTACCAGGCCTGGGTCCCTTAGCGAGAGATAACAGGACAGGGAGAGGCTAGATGCTGCTTGATTGAGAGATTTTAGTAAAGTCTGAAGCATGAGCCAAGTCTGGCCATTCTTATAGAAAAGCCACTGGAAACAGCTTGAGTGGGCCCAAAAGTTGGGTCTCGGAATCACCTGGGTGAGCAAGCAGTGACAGCCACGTTGATGGAGACTCAGACACGGCACTACGTC